CAATGAACTCCAACCCTTTCAGGAAGGGATCTGCTGGGGCCAAGTGGGCACAGCCACACTCCCTGATGCGGCTCAGGGACAACAAAGGTTGAGCTGAAATGAGGAAGCAGAGTGCTCTGAGGAGCCAGCCCCCTGGGCACTGAGTACAGGGACCACATGAAGCCTCATGCGGCTTTCCTTTCCACTGGGTTACAAGGCTTATATGAAGAAGGGACGTACGGAGTTATTACTTTATGAAATCACACGTGTCATGTTTTCATAAAGACGTATTTGGAGACTTCTTCGAGTGGGGGACAGGCCTGGGAAATGAAGACACAGGCTGCCCTCCCTTGAGGAGTGGAAGCCCTCCTTGGACCTGCTTGGAGCTACAGAACCTAGAGACAAGTTCTGAGAAGACGCGTCCCCTCTCACTCACTCCAACACCCTCTCCCCCTGAAAAGCTCTCTTCCTACACCAAACACACTCAAGAGGATGCAGGAAACCAAAACTATTTAGGAGACCAAATACCAGAGAAAGTAACCATCTGTGCCAGCAGCCCAAGGCAGTGTGTGCACTCATGGTGTATTTTTCTCTATGGAGAGAAGGGTATTAACGAAAGGATATACCCCTGCCTGTCATCCTCCCACAGACGGGAAGATGGATTCCGGCCAAGAACAGCTCAACTGCAGTTAAACAGGACTCTTGACAAGAATCTACACAGGCATTTACTGCACCTCATAGGCCGCGTTCTTGGAGTGTGAGGGGACTGAGAGGACTCGGGGAAGGAACGACATCAGTGCACCACAGTCACCCTCAGGACTTGGGAAAGTGAAATAGTCCAAATATGGGTCTGACAAGTCACCACGCTCAGAGTCATTACTTCCTGAACCCTGCCCACATGATCAGGGCCGGGAACAAAAGAGTCCAAAGCCACACTGGCAAAACGTGAATGACAACAGGTTAGCAGTGTAGCAAACTCAACTTTCCATCTCTGACTTGTCTGCTCTGGATCCAAGCTCCAAACCAGTTTACTTGGTGTTTCACACCCAAAAGGTCAAAAGTCCCAAAGAGATCTGCAAAACAGTGGTCCTGTCATTTTTTTCTGCTCCAAAATCTCCAGCGACTCCCCACGGCTTAGAGCACAAAAGGCCGAAGCTTTCAGACTGGCATTCCAAGCCCTTGCTGGCCTGACCCTGAGCTACCCTCAAAAATTGTACCCCTCTCTTTAAAGAAATTGAATTTTTAAAAAAATAAGTAAATAGCTGGGTGGAACATTTTTATTTACAGAGCTAAAAACGACCGCCAGGAAGAAGCGTTGAGAGTTAAAACAACTTTGCCTTAAGACAGAGGTGCAGTTAAGAAAGAGCTGCTTTTCATGGAAGACCTTTCTGCCCAGCTATTTGGCAGGCGACACTAATGTTTAATATAAGAACTGAGGAACGAGGCAACCAGAACTCTCATGTCCTGCACGTGGGCCTTCTCCTTGACCTACGGGATCGGCTTCCGTTGTCTGAATGTGCTCCCTGCTGAGCGTTTTCCTACCCACTGGTAGGTGTCTCTGTGCTGCTGTTTGCTTTGTTCTTACACTTTGAGAAAAATCTGTGTACTTGTAAGGGCAAAATCAGAGCCTGCTTATATTTCAAAGAAAGCACAGAACCCGTGTTTAATAATAAAAAAATAAAATCCCAACCGAGCCAAACGAAATCAAATGTTTGCAGATGGAAGCTGAGGCGCATCATATTTGCAGCTTCGTTACGCGCACACGGCTAAAGGCTTCGCTTGGAACAAGCCTCCGGAGCACAGTGTTCCTTCCCGGTGCCAAGGGCAGCCCGGGCACCTGGGTTCCACCTCGCGAATCTAAAGCCCTGACATTTAAGGCAGCACACCACTTCCCTGAAGGTTGGGAGCATGAAAAGGTGCCACTCTATCCTTTTAATGAGGACGATAAACGAAGTATGTCAGACTGTGCGATGAGTGAGTCACAGTGAGCTGTCACAAACAGGTCCACTCTGCTGTTTTCTGTTGTTATTCCGAGCAGCTCCTGACACACCCTGTTTGGGCTGATGAATTTCGGGTGGTGATAGGCACGGCGACCGTGTTCTCCTGCTCTTAACATAAAACATGCCAAAACGCAGCCTGTGCCTTTAGTAAACACAAGCGAAGGGACAACAGCCCAGGTTCTCAGGTTATCTCTACGATTTCTGTGGAACTTCGCGGTTCTGTTACTCACCAGTTTGACTGGGAGTCGGGAACCCCAAAACCACGATTTACAACCGCAACTTGAGTTGCCAGGGTAAGGGAGCACCCTCACCTGATACCATTTCACATCGAGCGGTGATACACAGAGGCCCGCTCCCTAACAATGACCTGAGGCAGTTTAGGCCACATTCAGTATCTTCTGCTCAGAAACAAGCCAGCCAGGAACGGGCACTGAACTAAGACGCTCCCTGTACTGACTGGGGGGGAAATATGAATGGGAACCTGTTGCTTCCCCGAACACGCCCATGCACACGCACCCCGCCCCAGGGAGCTGCTGAACGACGAAACGAGAGGCACTGACTTGCTTCACCCACAGACCTGAAGGAACTCCTCCATCTGCTGACGGAGCTCATCATCCCGCCGGATGTTTCCCTTCAGCGACCGCGTCCTGACAGACAGCGAGTGCAGCTCTGCCTCCGTGTTATCCAGAGACAACCTGGGAGAAGACAGGGGACAGCGGGCAGTTGGCCACGGGGAAGCCATGTGTCATGTGGGTACCTCAACCCAGTCTAACTGCTGGTCAATCTTAGAAACAGAAGGGCAGACACACCTGAAGCTAATACAAAACACTGAATGTAAAGAAAAACAGCAACACAAAGTGACTATCACATATCAGTTTGAATGCAGAAGCAGCTGTAAGGGTCCAACTATTGAGTGAAGACATTAAAGAAATTTGTAAAAAAGCAAACAAACCAAATAGAAGGGGAGGGAGCCACTGCGAATACATTAACCTACCCCTGTATTTAGAGTTTCCTCCTATGTTTTTTACTTATTTATTACTTAATTTTTATCGTTGACACTCTTACAGATGTCCCCATCTCCCCCACCTCCACCCTGGTTTTGCCCACCTCCACCCAGCCCCCCCCTCACCCCCTTTTGGCCATCATCACAATGATGTCTGTGTCTATGGGTTATGCATACATGTTCTTTGGCTAATCCCTTCACCTTTCATCCAATCCCCCCACTCCCCAGCCCTCCGACAGCTGTCGGTCTGCATATGTTGCTTATATTGTTTTTAAAGAGGAGATTCTTTCCTAAAGACACACACTGGCTCAAAGAGAACAGGCTGTAATGTACATAACTGTTCCTGCTGGTGAGATAACCAAAACCATGGGGCTTGTCTGAACACCTTTATGCAATAAGCACTGGAAAACTAAAAGCTAGCAGGACTCAGGTGCACTTTCCTCTGGCCACTAAACACAAACACAGAAGTTCTAACTCATGAATAGCAAGGCAGCGTGTGCTGATAATCCTGACATTAAGGGTAACATGGAGATACTGAGCAGACCATGTGGCTGGCCACTGACAGACAGGGAAAGTGCTCTATTTTACAGAAAACTAACAATCATGCAAAGGCTTTTGTTATTTACTGTAGATCAAATCCAGATCGGTAGGGCAGAAATGATGTTTTTGTCACCCGGTAAAGTGAACACAGACGACCCTTAAAATCCAGGGGGAGTTCAATTAGCAAATTCATATAGTAGGATGCATTCATGCTGCCATTGTCAGTTTTGTGTTTGTGTGTGTGTGTGTGTGTGTGTGTGTTTTACAATAAAGTCTTCTGCCTTCAATGGTCATCTGTGATCTGTTTGTACTTCATCTTCCACTTCAAATAAACAGACCTTACTCAGTAAGTTTTTTCTAAGACAATAGCTAGCTAAACTTCCCCATCTAACTCTGAAATATCAGTTTAAAACTGTACTGGTTGCCCTAGGTGGGTGGCTCAATTGGTTGGAGTGTCATCCCATACACCAAAAGGCTGTGGGTTCAATTCCTGGTCAGGGCACATCCCTAGGTTGTGAGTTCGATCCCTAGTCAGGGCACATATGGGAGGCAACTGAACAGTGTTTCTCTCTTTCAATCCCTTCCTCTCTCTAAAATCAATTAAAAGAACAACAACATATTCTTGGGTAAAGATTAAAATAAAAAAAGGAATGGTTATTTCTCTGTTTCTCTCTTAGTAACATTTCTATACCAGTCGGAGGAATAAATATTCCCATACAGATTCCTTCAAGTAATTAAAAACGAAAACAGTTTATATCTTATAAGAAAGATGCTCATTCTTTTGGGGGAATAATCTGGCAATCTGTGAACATGAACTACGAACTGTTCACACTTTGGACTGACTGATCATCCCACTTTGGGAAAGACGTCATCTGTGGCTAGATGTTCACAGTCATCACAGAGACACTGGCCAACGACAGGGCTTGGCCTGCAGAGCTGTGGTTCATGTGCTTATGCATGTGGTTCGCATCCCAACTGGATATAGTCACTCGGATAATGAGTCCATGCAATAAAGACTATTGCAAATAAACCCATGAACGAGGTGGATGAAGGGGTGGGCTGAAGCCAGATTACAAGAGGTGACGTGGGTAGCCATCTCTTCCCAACTGCACTTTAGTAACACCACATTGGTAGCTTGAAATCAGCCATGATAGTAGTATTTACACCATGGAAATCGACAAATAATACAAATCAGACCTTTTTTCTCCCCTAAAAAGCTAGTTTTTGAACATTTACTGCTTTGATGCAGGATGTGTACTGTAAATTTGAAAACACAGAACTTGAGCTAGCATGTAGACACAGATTAGAGCTACATTAAAACACATGACTACATTAGCAACAGAAGCAAATTAAAGTGTTAGACATGGAGCTCCATGCTTGGTAAATACTTTCTCTGTAAAGCCGAATGACTAATTTAAGACAAAATCCTTTCACAGCCCTTGGTATGGTTCCAATTTCTAATGTAATAGAAAATAAATGTACCATGTTAGATTCTACCAGGAAAACAGTGATGGATGACCCTGCCAGTGTGACTGACAATATACCAGCTCCCAAGGTAATAGGCTGTGTTGTTTGAACTCTATCTTTTGGGTGTGGAGGGAGTTGAAGTTCTTAATCCCTGTTTTTTTTACACTGATGATATTCATTAGAATAGATGGCAATAGGTCTTTTTTAGATTAAAAAACTAAGGATTAATTTTTCAAAACCCCCAAATTCCAAAGGTGTACAAACACACACCTCTGTAAGCAAATGAAAAGAAGGTCTGAAAGTTCAACAAGACAAAACTTTTAAAAGTTCACACTTGAATCCAGAAGTTATAAAATAGTCATCAGTTTTCATAAGAAGGCAGTTGAAAACACACACAACCTTAAATCTTCACAATTCACTTTCAGTCTTTCTTGCTTACCTAGCAGCCTCCTGAACATGATGTAATTTTTCAGAAAAGTTTAGAAGAATGGCATCGTTCTTTTGGGCTTCCTGAAACAAAACCAGAATTTGGTCTCACTATAAAGATGGAACTAGAAGGAAATCATTTGCACAGGCTTAAAGGAACCTTAAAATCACTGTTCCCATTTTTTACCTTTGATGTATTCAAAGCCATTCACTTGAGACAGTAGCTCCGATGTTCCTAGCAAGATCTACCAGAATGCCAGGACTCTCACCATACATTTAACTTCCCCGAGCAACTGATGCTGACATGAAACATAACTAATGTGCCTGAAAACTCAGGGGAAGGAGGTGGCGCCTTAGCAGGGCCCATCTCTCAGAGAATCCAATATGTCCTGTTTAAATACCACCCATACCTGTGAGTGTGCCTTTGAATGACCGAGATACCTTCAGCAGTTAAACCAGTTTGCAACCTGAGTTTAATCAGAAGGTGCCCAAGCCATGGAGACTCTGGATTCTTCACCTGTTCACAGAGTACGAGGAAGACAGGTATAAAGGGACCAATGAACAACTCGGGAAACTTCCCCACATGGGCAGGGACACAGGACACACCTGGATACACGGATCTAAAAGGGCTGCCAGAGAGTCCCTCCCAGCAAGACACCTGGGAGGAGGAACCTATTTTCTGGTTTTAATGTCCTGCAAATTAGCTTTTATATTAGTCCTAAGGCCAACATGGCCTCCACCTTCAATTATAGTAATAATTGAGAGCTTACTATATGGAATTACCTCTGTGAGCCCTCACGGTTACCTGGTTTTGAGGTATCACTATCCCCATCATTGGATGAAGAGATCCAGGGTCTTAGGTTTAAATAACTAAGTGATTGGGCATCCACCTATGAACCAGGAGGTCACGGTTCAATTCCTGGTCACATGCCTGGGTTGCAGGCTCAATCCCCAGTGTGGGGTGTGCAGGAGGCAGCTAATCAATGGTTCTCTCTCATCACTGATGTGTCTGTCTCTCTCTCTCTCTCTCTCTCTCTCTCTCTCGCTCTCCCTTCCTCTCTGCACTCAATAAAAATATATTTTTAAAAAATAATAGTTGACTTGTCTGAGGGATTACAGCTCATAAATGACAAATCAAACTCTTTCAGTTCTGCCAACTCTCTCAGTTCTGCCCCGTCTGAAGCTCACACTTGAAATAATCACATGACAGCTTCCTCCCCAGGCTAAAGCTACGTCGCTGTATTTGCTGTCAAAACAACAAGGCCTTGCAATGAAGGAAAGACAAACCGGAACAATTCGTTACTTGAGATAATTTAACAACAAAGAGATAATTGTGCTGGGCTGATTTTTCACTTTGTAACTGGTTCCTTTGGCATCACACAGACCCAGTCAAAAATGGAAGTGATGGCTCAGTTGGTTGGAGCGTCCTCCCATGCACCCGGGGGTTCGATTCCCGGTCAGGGCACATGCCCAGGTTGCAGGTTCAATCCCCGGTCAGGGTGTGTGCAGGAGGCAACCGATCGATGTTTCTCCCTCACAACCAGTGTTTCTCTTTCTCCCTTCCTCTCTCTAAGTCAATATTTTTAAAAATGGAAGAGATGAGCAGGGTTCTGAGTCTAATCCCTGGGCTCACAGCAAGGCACGCTAACCCACACTTCACAAAGGAAAAAGATGGACGTGATCTTTGTAATTGCTCTGACTCTCTCACGGTTTACACATAACTGGTCAAAAATCTAGTCAATTCAACATTAGAAATGTTTCAACATCCATCCCTGTGGCCATCACTCTGATTCTCAACTCTTCCAAACAATGAATTCGTGCCAACTGCCACCAAGAGGCACCCCTCGTTCTAGCTCTTGCTCCACTCCAACCCATCCTCCACACTTTCCTCGAAACAAAACAAAAAGCCATTATGCACACACACCTCAGTTGGCTCCCCACTGCTAAAGCAAGCAATCCACATTTCTCAGCTTTAGGATCCAAATCCTTCATTATCTGTCTTCATCAACCCTTCGCCTCACTCCCCAGACCCCTGCCCTCCCCTCCAGTCCGAGGACCGTGGGCACAGCTCAGCTCACGTACTGGCAGACAGTGCTTCCGCACAGAGAACCTTCTTGGGACCCACCATGCCCTTTCCTGAATCTGACGCCACCGTAGACCTGGGAAAACCGTCACAGCCAGCATGGGGATCCACCACATTCTGTCTCCATAACAACAACGTCCATACCTGTGCAACAAAGTGCAGAAGGTTCATCCCAGGCTTGTTTGCTTTGGTGTCTGCCAATTTGAGCAAAGAAGACAGCTTAAATCCTACTGCATTGCCGGCATACCCTCCCTAAAGAAGACAAATCAAAAGAAAAAACCATATGTTTAGACAGATCAATACAGTTAGAAATACAACATTTTAATTTTTTTGTATTTTACTTACTGCATTCATGATATTTCCTGCCTGTAGCACCAAGTGTAATATGGAATGCAGCTCCTCACATGACATCAGCTCTGTCAAGAAGAACACACACAGTGACTTAGAGAAGCCTCCAGCTGAAATGTAGAAGAGACAGCTACCAGCTACCACATCCAAGTTCCAGGGTGTTGGGAGCAAGCTCTGACCCTGAACTTCATACGAAGACTCTGAAATTAAAAAAAGCAGCACATCCTATGGTGGATCTAATGTAGCATTTGCCACTGGCAATCCATATCCTGGTGGTGAACTGGGAATCAAGTATCAGTAATACTTACACATCATAAAACAGTTCAATTATGAATTTATCCCTGTGTTACAGGGATACATTTCCTCTCGGCAATGTTTCTTTTTTTCATTTATATCCACTAGCCTTTGAGACTATATTGATGAAATGTGAAAACTAATAGCGAGCAACATTTTGCTTAGTCAATGAGCTATGAGGAGATAGGAAGTAAACAAGCTGGTATGACATGTAAATAAGGTGCAAAGCATCAACCCTTAGGGGCCAGGCACCCAGAGACTCTTCCTATTTTATTCAGAACTAGACATTTCACTTGGATTGGCTTAAGGACTTAAAAAGAAACTTATCGTTGGAATATACTGGTAAACTAGCTCTTTAATCACAGGATCTATTGTACACGCACCTACACAAAAAAACACTATTCAAAATTGTTGATGTATTTGGAAGGCTAAAAAAGTTTGATGATTAAAATGACAGTATACACAAAGAATAAAATGTCACCTATGGTACTTTTAAGTTAATATTCTCCATTAAGTCTGGTATTACTTTCCAAAAATTACAGCTGGATCACTGCCTACATTGTGTTATCTAAGGAGGCCAGTTTTTGAAGGGTAACCAGATAAGGAACGTTTGCGCCGTGCCCACAAATTTGCCTGCTCAATACGAAAACATGTTCTCCCATCTCTCTTTGAACAGGAGCAACAACCCTGTTAGAGTTGCTGCAATAACCTTGGTATAGGAAGAAATTTTAAAAGAACTCTAGGTTGAAAGAAGAAAAAAAATCTTCATTCTTAATCTCCTCTCTAAATGAAGAAACTATGATGGGCTGAAGAGCAAAACATTATTTCAAGCCCAGGTCGGAGCAACTAAACGGGAAAACCAAACAGGAATAAACAGTTCTGCACGGTAATGAAATCCAGAAAATGAGCAAGAGGGAGTCAGGGGCGCTGATGGTGCTGGAAGATGTGAGGGTCAGGGAGGGCACGAGACTGCCCGGAGAGGAGAAGGACGCAAACGCAAATGGGCTGGGCCTGCAATCCCAGGGTCAGTCAAGGCCAAAGCCAAGGTCCCACCCACATGGAATGAGACATCAGGGCAGCTCTGAGGAGTCTATCCAAGCTGGGTAAGCAAGAATGCAGCAAGTTGTTCAAAGACATGGACGCGGGCCACTGGCCCCTCTCAAAATAGTTAGCCAACCAGTGGTTGGAGTTTGGAGGGGAAGCGGTGGGGGCAGAGACACCCTGACGAAAGAGCCCGCGTGGACATTCATTCCTGGGAGGAGTCAGGAGGAAAGGGGTGAGGGTGGGGGTCTACTTCCGGAAAGCAGGGTCCTAGACACCAACAGAGGCCAGAGAATGGGAGGAGAGATGGGCTGGGCTGGCTCAGGGCTTGCGCACCTTCTGATTAAACTCAGTTTGCAAACTGGTTTAACAACTGAAGGTATCTCAGTCATTTAAAGGCACACACACCACCGACATACAGCAAGCAAACCTACAAGAGGAACAAGAGTGAGCTGCAAGTAGCGAGGCTGACTCCGAAGTGTGAGATGAAAGAAAGCTTCTCTTACGGGAGGATAATGTGCTGATTAAGTAATCAATTGATTAGTCAATTAATTAATTAGGGGGAAGTAACTGTAGATAAACCTTCAATGCCATCCCTGGTCACACCGATTTCCCTTTTTACGGTGTATCAGAAATGGGACTTTGCATTTCCAATTTCAACCGAATCATTTTTTAAAATAAACTGCTACCCAAATAAATAAAAACTAATTATACGAAGCATCATGCATTTACTCACCTTGTATAGCCATTCTTAGAATTCTTATATCCGTGTACAGAGAAGAGCAAGAAGGTAAAAACTCCTTCTTTAGCACCATGGCTTCAATCCGAAGCGAATAGCTGAAAAGGAAAAAGTCAAACTGTAGTTCTGAGGTCACGCGTTTAAAAACCTTCCCTGTAAAGAACAATGATCGGTGGTCCTTACTTTGGCACCTGAATTAAGCAGTGCAGAAAGGAGTCTGCCAGGGACAGCTTGGACACATCACCATTAAATGTTTTTAATTTCTTTATCTAAAAGACAAATGGGAAAAGGGGGTAGAGAAAAACATAACTTGTGATGAAAATGTAACATGTTTTTAAATTGCATCTTAGAATCCCTGCAAGCAAATAGAATTTCGGTGCTACCTTCAAACTAGTAAAAGCGGAGGCCTGAGAAAAGACAGAAGGGAAGTCATCACATCTACACTTTGTCTTTTTGAAAGCAGAAAGACCAAACAAACAACACAAATTAGAAAGAGAGGAGCCGGGTCACTTCGGTGGGTGTAAACAATCCCTTGCAAGCCAGAAAGCGGAATCCTCAGGAAGATTACCAAAAGGAGACTGAAAAGGGGCCGTCCTGAGGGTGAAATGTTTCTCCAAGTTATAACCTGGGAGGGAGAGCACTGCTTGGGAGAAGAAAGAAGAGATGGAGTATTCCTCATAATACAGTCCTTAAGTCATAGGTGATAACAGTCTTATTACTTTTGAGTCTTTTGGATATAACATACTCAGACTGGGTAAGGTCTAAGGCAGATCTTTCTGTGGTCAAGCCCCCTTCACATATATTCACTTTATAGGAAGGGACTACTGTATGTTAGGTGAGTCCACTCTTACTCTCCAGCAGAAAGAAATAAAGGAAAATGGCTTCACAGAAAGATCAATGTTAAGACATCCCTCTATGAAAGAATCAGGTAATAAAAGCATATGCACAATGGGATCCCGTATATATATAATTATATTTTCTTCTGCTGCTTATTTTTATTTTCTAAATTGTCTACAATGAACATGCATTTCCTTGTAAAAAATTAAACTATGCCCGGCCGGCAGGGCTCAGTGGTTGAGCATCGACCAACCTATGAACCAGGAGGTCACGGTTCAATTCCTGGTCAGGGCGCATGCCCAGTTTGCGAGCTCGATCCCCAGTGTGGGGCATGGGGGAGCGAGCCGATCAATGATTCTCTCTCATCATTGATGTTTTTATCTCTCTCTCTCTCTCTCTCTCTCTCCTTTTCCCTCTTAGAAATTAATAAAAAAAATTTTTTTTAATTAAGTTGGAAGTTATTAAACACACAAATATTCTTTCAAATGTAGGAGAGAACTAAGAGTTCGGACATAGGAATGTAGCCAAAAAACTTGGCAAGTGCAGATGGGGGGGCGGGGAGGAAGTTCCCCTCTACACCAGAGAGCGAGTCATGCTTTCCCCACACAGAAAACTGGACCAATCTGGTGGCAACAGTCCCTCTCCATCCACTGGGTCTTCCAACAGAAATACTTGACGGTAAGTAGAGCCTTCAGACATAGTGAGCCCACCCTTACAGCTAATGGCAGCCAGGGAGCACGCACCACTTTTTATTAGTCTTCATAAAGTTTTCTCTCTCCCACCTCCTGGATTATGTTGACTGCCCATAAAAATAACATGATTCTTAAGCCTCTTTAAAAATTAGGGAATGATGTGCAAAAACACAGAGGGAGTATTTGCAAAGGTCCACAAACTGAAATGCTTACACCAATTCCCTGAAGACACAAAATGTGACAGTGTAGATGAACATCCTAGAATTGAGTCTGGTCCTTAAGACCACATCTTTTTCTTCCAACGGACAGAAAAATGGCCATTTATAGAATGGCACTAGTTCCCCTACCTTTAGGGCCCCAACGTGATTTTTACAATTTCTTGGCCTTACTAAATGAAAGGGCAGATGGAATCTCTGGTTTAGCTAAGCCCAAATCAGAGGCTCGTTTCTGAGCTGAGAAAGCTATGGTAAGAATTCTGATTCCTTCCGAACTGGTCTCACAATTCACTATATATGGGCAGGGCAGAGCGAGACCTCATATGGAGCACGTGCAAATAACAGCAGTTTTCTGTCCAAAGCCTAAGAACAGGTCACGCTAAGTCATCTCGGTCGATATTTCTATTAGACATGTGCTAAACTGTAACTGAACAAAGATTAATCTCCTTCACTTATGTAACGAGCTAACAATGTTTAGATTTCAAGAGACTGGTGATGAAAAGATAGTATTTGATTTAAATGCCCTGTATACAGTTCTTATCCCGTTCCAAAACGGGATTTATGTTCATTAAGCGGGATTACGGTACCTTCACAGTGGCAGGGAGGTAAGAAAAAGAGAGGTGAACCAACCCTATAATTATTATGCATTCTCCTCACCATCAAAAAGCATTTATCAAACATCGTTAGGCACGATGCTGTTGGCGGAGCCAAGTGACTCTCATTATGACCCGGCTACACGGTGCTGTCCTCATAGCAAACAGAATGCTCCTTGAGACTCGCACATTCCCAGGGGCAGGCCTCCTTCATCCCGTCTAATTCCACTCCCATGGCCTTAAAAGAGCAGGATTTCCCACCCACAGACCAACAGGAGATTCTGGAGCTCCCCCACGGGCACTTCCCTCCCAGGGGCAGAGTAAACCAATGAGGTGAAATGAGGTGAAGTGTCAGAGGAGGCCTTCCCATCTGCGCCCAGAGAGGACAGGACATTTCTATCACCTTCCAGTCCTACATCCCCAACACTGAGGCAATGACAGGGTCCCCGCCCCAGCCGAGGGAGGGCCTTGCCAGCTGGGTGGGGGTCCTTCCCCGGACCACCTGGCTCCTCGTCCAGCCTCCTCTCAGGGCACAGGGATACCTGACAGAGAGCACAACCCCCCAGTCCTCTCACTTCCAGGTCTACCTTCTTCCTCTGCAAGTTTTAACCACGTGTTTCAGGCAAGATGAACAAACATGCCAGACAAAAGATTTGTGGCAAAAGGGCAGAGGAATCCTGAACACAAATTAACCTTGGGTTGGCTTGTCAGCTGAGAATGCAGAGGAGAAAAGAGCTCTTTCCGTTCATATTTTTCCGCCTGCTGATAAGATCGCGGGGTTATTTGGGTGACACTCACACCAGTACTGTGTGACACCACAGGTGATGAAAAGGCCGGGAGGCCTCTGAGAAACTTCTGAGAACCTCTGCCCTTCCTTCCTTCCTCCAAGTGCAGCCCTAGGAACTGCTCTGGGGTCAGACCAATCAGAGTTCAAGTCCACTTCCTCCGGGGCCTGTCCATCATGTGGCACTGGACTCGTTCTAGCCAACCATGTGAGCCTCAGTTTCTCACTTGTAAAATGAGGACTATCTTACATCGCTGTGAGGATTAAGTGAAAAAGATGATACACTAAATCATTACAGCAATGATTTACTGACTGTCTATGTGCCCGACAGTGGGCCACGCACTTGAAATGCAGGATCTCGCTTGGTTGAATGCTGCCCTGTCCAGTGCCTGGGACACAGTGGCACTCAACAAACATGCAGTCCCTTCTTGTGCTAAAAATGAGCACAGAACGTTATGCCACAGGCTCAGCAACATGCGGTTACTCGTACACTTACGCACTGATTAGCATATTTCTGCCACATTCCTAAACCTCTCTCACTTGGCCCTGGCTCCTCCTTGGCCTCATCTCCATCCTCCACCCTCCTCCAAAGACTCTAGGGCTGGCCCTGGGTCTGGGTGGTGCCAGAGGCCACACAGCTCTCACAACTAAAGCTAATCTGACCTTGCAGCGGGCATGGGTCATGAGGTGGCTTTGGCTTCCACTGGGCCTCCCTCTGCCAGCACAGATCCCCCGGAGTGCGTTACGGAGGGATGCCAAGTGACACCCAGCAGGACTGTCAGGGTGTT